AAACCGACGCCAAATTGAAATGTAAATCAATGGCAAGAACCAAAATGCTAATGTCAGGCTGTAAATGAAATACACAGGGGTGAAATGACTTTAACATCATCAGCACTAAAGGTCCCCGATAGCTCCTGAGGTCTAGCCACTTTTTGATAAACACCCTCTAGCATCAGAATTCACAGCTGGAGTATTTTACATGCTTATGTTGCAGAGCAGTGATTCCCAATGTATGGTCCACAGCCCCCTGGTGGACCGTAAGAGGCCATTTACTATAATTTACTGTTTTGTTTTTTTTTTAGTTAAGTGAAATTCTTGCTATTTCTTTTTTCCCCGAGATGTCCCCACAGCATGTGAAAATTTTCACAGATTTTAGCCTGCACACCCTTCCCGGCACAACCCTGCACTTTATCCAGGCTTTTGACTCCCTGAGGTTGGGTTTGTCTTAGATCTTAGGTGTTTTGAGTGACACATCTTTTGAACTTTTACAATCTTATAGGATAAACTGACAGGATAGAATGCACTACTAGGGTCAATCAAATGGAGAGTGAAGTGAAAGGTTTATAACAGGGATGTAAAACTAATTTTACATTGTTAGCCACATGCAACTCACTTTGACCTTAAGTGGGTCAGACCAGTGAAACTCCTCTTTCTGTCAGTATAAAAAAGTTTAACCATTGAATTCCTCAAATATCTTCATATAATAAAAAACAAATCTATTGCAGATAGTGAAAAAAGAGGAACTTTTCCATCATTTCTTTATCTTCATCATTACTTTGGTGCTTTAAAAAAAAGCTATTAGAAAAAACCAACTTGGAAAATGCAGTTAAAACAAAATCTATGCCCCTCTTTACATTTTCCAAAGCCATCCAGAGGGCTGGATTGGAGTCTTTGGCGGGCTGATTCTGGCCCACAATCTTACATTTGACACCCCTGGTTTGCAAGTTGGTGATGAGACCTTTGCTTCAAAATAAAATGTGTTTTTTTTTTCATGAAATCTTTACATTATAAAAAGAAACAGAACAAATGAAACAAAGAAATGGTGTTTAAAAGTGTCTCAATGTATCGTCATTGCTAAACTTAAGAAAGGACTTAAAGCTGTTGATGGAGAATCAAGTTCACCAAATAAATGATCAAAAGATTCAAATAAATCAGTGAAACCATAAAGGAAATATTTAATTTTCCATCTGTGACAGTAGTAAATGGACAGATACATACGCATTGCTTTCTTCTCTAACTGAGCACCCAAAGCACACAAAAGCAGAAGCTGTGACTGAAGGTCCGTGTGAGCTGCAGAAGATTTTCACATTTTAAACAGTCTGAATTGAGGAATAGCTGCAGTGGAACAATATGTGAAAACGTCTTAAGCCTGTATAAACCACAGGCCTACCACAGGGAACTAGAAGTAGAAGAAGTGCTAACTCATTTCCGGGGTTTTGGATTCATTCCTGCAGCGCTCTAAAGCTGTATACCCAGAATCAGTTTTTCGGTTGTTTGTCTATGCAGGCTGCGATGAGGAAGTCATATACAAGTTAATGAGGTCTGACTGGGAAAAAAATCAAATAAAAACCAATTTCGATAAAAAATGGAATTGTTGAAAACGCTGCATTTTTTATATATGGGAACAACAGCCAATAAAAAAAAGTTCAGCTAGAAAAAATACTTGTGCTTCCTGAATGTAACTGCAGTTTTTTGTGCCCCCTCACCCTCACCTGCACCACTGGTTAGCCACTTAGGTGGCCAGACTTCAGTCTGTGGTGACTTTGGCCTCAGCCCTGCTAAAATGGCTGCACTGTTTGCACCCAAACCTCTCAGGTAAGCAAACAGAAAGGCATGGTGGGCGCCAGCTCAGCTCTCCTGGAGAAAAAAAAATCATATCAGAGGCTGTGATCAAAAGTTAAATATGCACTGCCTTATCTGATGCCTGTTCATACTGCAAGTACATGTATATTAGCTGAGGAGAGAGTCTGCACTAAAAGGTCACATTAAACATGTTATATACACAGCCACTTTATATAGTCGAATCCCTCAGGCAACAGGCAAATAACAGCATGTGATTGGCTGCCAAAAGTACAAAAGCCGTAACAGAACCAATGTGACACTTTAAATAACGTTTATCTGACAAAAAAACTGTATAGCTGTCAGAAAACATGCCGTCCCTGTCACTTCAAATCTGGCACTCCAAAATGAGGAAGCACAGCAACATGAATGGCTTTTTATATCACATCACTGTGCATTATATACATCAAAGAACACGTTATTGGATTCAGCTTCAGACGTCACTTCAAAAATCACCTGCCAGACATCCGTCCGCAGTGCAGCTGTGCTACTTTTTATAATCTGGAGTCTTTCCCTCTGCTGTGCTTTCTCTTCTCTTTCAGGGAGCCAAATCTATTTTCTGAGAAGTTATGAGCTGCTCAAGATCTGCGAATATAGACAGATAAGAGACCACTGTCTGCAACCTTAACCGTGAAAATCTGATGCTTTAAGGAGAGAACGGTGGATGTTCATCCTCTGCTGTTTATTTGTATGCTCTAGAAAGCATGAGAAATGCTTATCAGCCATTTCTATACATACAGAGACTCTTAAAAAACAAAGATGTCATCATATGTTAAATTAATCATCTTTTAATATTAAATGTATTTCCTTATTGGTTACTGTAAATATAGTTTTCGTATGTCTGTTACAGTTTCCCAGCAGCATGAGCATAAAGTTAGTTATGCTGAATGGATGTAAATACATAGTGCAGTGTTAGTATCATGTATTAGATGTAAAACTACTGCTAATAATACTGTAAATATATTGAAGGCACTTAAAGCAGAACAGCTGCCACGGTGAGTGCTATTTATATTATATTATCAGGGGGTTTCCCCGCCAGAGCCGAAATATGAAAACACTTTCGTTGTTTAGGATTAACTCTACAATTACAGGCATTTCCTGTAACCTAACATAACCTTTAGCCAGAAATAAAAGAAAAATGCACAGATTTATGTCAAATAAGTAAACCAGACATACTGCCCTTAATGTACAGGGAAGGTAGGAAGCAAATAAAATGGTAAATTAATTACAGTCTGCATATATTCAACAGTGCCTGAGTATAAAGTGCAGCTGAATGAATATACAAGGTGACAAGGTGGCAAATTTACAGTTATTGGAGTAAACTTTGCACTAAGAGTGCATCCCGCGCAGGGACCCTGAGGTAAGCCTGAGGGTCCATCCATGAGAAACACAAAAATGATATGTAGAGATGTATATATTTTTATCACAACATAATGATAGGATTATATATATGAAATATATACATGTGTTGAATATGAAAGGACTTAAAGGAGGAGGCGGCATGCAGACAGACACAGAAAACAGGAAATTGGAGATTGTAACAGTAAAAAGGCATAGGAGTGATCATATATGGTGCACATACAGAACATGGGTCATACAGAGGTCAGAGGGTGCCTTAAGAGGTGGTGCCTTGGAACAGACATGAGAGCCACTTCACAATACGTGGAGAGTCTTTTTTTTTTTTTTCAGGTACTCTCTCAGTCCAAAGTCATGAATATTATGTTACCTGGTAATTCTAAATTGGTCAGGGATGTGAGGTAGATAAAATGCTCGAAGTGTATAGAACAAAGCGATGTAGTTAAAAGCGCTTTGAATGATCAGTAAGACGAAAAAAGTAAACTGTGAGTCTTTCTGTCCATTACACTTGCGTGCACAAGGACCTACAATGTAAGACATAATGCAAAAACAAACAAATCCATTTACTCTGAAGTGTGACTAAAAGAGAGCTCAAAAGTGGGGATTATAATGGTACCTGAAGTCCCACACACTCGTTTCCTACCACTGCTTTAAATGTACAGAGAAATTTGCAATAAGCATTAATTAAGTGTTAATTGATGTTTAACTAATATTGATAATTATAAAGGGTAGTTATGAGTATTGTTTTATGACAAAGAAGGGAGGACGGAAGGGAGGATACATTCAAAATTGATCTGTAGTTCAAAATTTGTTGCAGACATGTAATGTAAGAATTCAATGGCCCTGGTCAAATGTGATCTAAACCATAAGTGAAGGCATATAGAATATGAATAGTTTGTTAGAGTTAAATGAAGAGGAAAACAACTTAAAGTGGTTCATAAACTGAATAAATGAAGGATATTTTCCATTTACACCATTACATATAATATTTACTCATCGAGTCCGAAGCAGAAGAGTTTAAGTCCGTACACAAGATTATATGATAAATGCCAAATTGTGTAATGTTATTTACCTTAAGCTTTATCCCACTTCTAGTATGTAACTGGAGCTTGTTTTCAAAGTGAAGAGGTTGTAATTGAACCGTAACCTGGATTGCAGTGATTGGCTGATCCTGGTCCAATCAAACACGACGGTCTCTCTGCCCCCCCCTCCCCCGACCCTTCCGTACATCCACAGCTTCAGTTAGCGCACACATAGCGGAACACGGTGAGTGCCCTCTGCAGCTCTATCTCAAAGTAAAACTGCTATTTTAGTGAGTAATTATTAGGGCCATGTCTTCATTGTTTTGATCATTAGTCTCTAAGCATTTGTTTGTCTCTGAAGAAACACCAGAGTTACTTCTAGTTCCGCCGTAATTAAATAATAGTGGTGGTAAAATAGCTTAGCTTCGAAGCTAACTTAGATTGAGGTGCTAACAAGTAACTAACGAGTTATCGGTGCAAATGTGGTTTGCGGTTCAAGTCCTTTAACATCCGATTATATTTTTAAACATTTATCCTAACATGTTTAGTGGCATGTCTGTTTGCTAACTTGTGCGTAACCAGAGTCGTTAGCATCAGATGAAACAGAAAAAGCTATTTTTAAGAGTTCACTCTTGTGCTAACGGGCTAGCTAACTTATTAGCCCCGGTGTTTGCTAAACATTTCTTTTACCCGTAGCGCAACTTAAAATAGAGTTTGTCAAACTGGAACTAATATTAAACCGTGAACTCGATGGAATTTCTTCCGCGGAACCGACATTACTTAACGCGGCGTTTGTCCCGCACAGCCTCGCCATGTCTTTTCCGGGCTAGGACGTTAGCTAGCTTTCACCGGAATGTGCTAGCAGAATGCTAACATTTGAGTTGACGAAGTGTGACTACTTTTGGGACATCTTAGACTCCTAGACTTGGCATTCGGCTCACATTTGTTTCTTGTTTAACTGGTGATACTTCTCTCTGTGACTGGTTGTTTTAATACGCTTGACAGTGAAGGTCTGCTGCGCTGAGAAACTAAAAGCCACACCCTTCCTTTCGAAACTAACTACGTTACAAAAGTTATCCCGAAAACAAGTTGTCATTTAATTGTCGAATGGAAGCCTTCTGTTTTAATGTATAAAGTTTTACTTTAAAGACTTCTTCAAAAACACGTTTTATTTATTTAGGGAAGTTAACTTAAGTATTTTTTTGTGCTTTTGAGTTAAAATCCCCCCCTCCCTCTGGCTCTGACACATGATACTAGTATCTCTCAGGGTTGGAAACAGGGGTCTAAAAAATATTACTCTGTTTGATTAAATAGTTCAGAACAGCATATTTTACTGTCTGTTTGTTGATCAGCAACAGGTCCTGTAAACAGTGAGTAACTTTGCGTTTGTTATGTAACATGACAGCTGACCTTAGCTTATTTAAATAGCCATAAAGAGTCGTCCATCAAGCTCTCCATGTGACTGCACAAACGCACCACAGTAGAGTTTTACAGTGCTTCTGATCACCTTCTTTTGGGTGACTGGTGTAATGTTGGTGGCAGGTGTTAAGAGTTTGTAATAAGTCATCTTTAAGTTATTTTTTGTTTGTTTGTTTTAACCGTAATTGAGTGAAAGGTTTCTACTCATTTAATGTTCTCTGTGATTTTTTTATTTATTTGTTTTTTTAGTTGTTTTTAAAGAGCCCTAATAGGAACAATCATTTTTCAGTTCTACTAGCTGAAGTTTCCGCAGTGTAAAAGAAATGAAGCAGCATTTCATTTATAATGACTGATAGATTGGCTGCCAGATGACAGAAGAGCCCATCTACCCTTCATAATGTACAATGTGTGGCATAGAATGCGCAGATGAAAGGGAATAATGCTCCAGGAGTGCATTTCTTATTGAAACTTGTGTCCGCCACTGGAAGGGGGGGGGAAGAGAGCTTCCTGACTGACAGAGTTAAGTTGAAATTTTGAATTAACGTCTCAGATGTTTGAGTTTAGTGAGTTAAATTTTGACTTATGACTGTCCCGCCCCAAAAAAGTTGGCCGGTAGAATTTGGCCTGTTTGAGTTTCCATAATTTCTTGGTTTCAACATGTCAAATCTTTGCAGGTTGATATACAAGCTATGATATACACTGACTGATTTAGCCAACTGTAATTGGCTCCAGGCCTGTTAGAAGTATCCTCTTCCTTTTTTCTCTCATTTGATGATGATTATGATTCATCAGTATAGCTGCCATATGCGCACATTAACTTCAAAGCATGTGGAAGTCCAGGCGTGAGCTTGTGCTGCGCCCATCCACACTTAGAAACTGTGACAGATTGAATTAGTTAATCTCAGAATAATTAAATTATTTATATAATGCATCAATGAGGAAACTGGATAAAAATTGCCTTGAGTGGGTAGCTATTGCCAGTCACCTAAAATAGAATAGCTCTTTATTGTCATTGAACTTGTACAACAAAATTGTGGGTGCTCCACACTAACTGTGTCAAATTAAAATGTAACTGGTACACAGCAGGAATAAATAGTAAACAGGAGAAATATACAAAAATAAGAGAAAGACACATTGGAGAACAAGTGCAACTTGTTCATTGTCAGTGCCTGAAATCATTGTCCCTCAGCACAAACTTAACCGATGCGCTACTTTAGTGCTTAATGGGAGGAGATTCCTAACATTGGTGGGTTGTATCTTTGCTGGTGTAATAGGTTATTATTGCGCATTGGCATTTGTTAAAAGTCAAGCTAGCTGCCTGTTAGTAACTCTTATATAGGACTTTACAACAGTTTAATTATCCACTGCAATGATCAGCTTTGTCTACATTTTGATGCTGGATTGCACAGGCAGCCACATCTCACGCTCAGGATAGTTGTATAATGTCATCTAATTGGCTAAAGGTTGCGCCAGAGCATTTCATGGGCTGACGCCTGTGCTGGCAGTTCTGAAGTTGAATTTCTTTCATTGCAAGAAACACTAAGCAATGCAACCATAATTCAGCACCACTCTTTCCATTAGTGTAATTTTTGACAATGTTTGGTTAGTTTTCTTCTATATCTGTAGTTGGCATTCAAGAAAATTTGTTTGAAAGAAAACAAAGGTTGCTCCCAAAGTTGATGTGCAGTTATGTCAAATTGTAATTCTCATTCCTGCTGGATGATAATTGTTCAATTTAGAACTCTTTTTCTGTCTGAACAGTTTGGCGTGGCCTTGCCGGCACCTGAGCAACCCTTGGACCCTTCCTGTTGACATCCCTGTACCTGAGGATCTGCCAGCCCCTCCTCCCCAGATGTAGAGGGAGTTGTAATCTTCAGCAGCCGTGTACACAGTAAGTTGAGCAGTTTTGTTTTTTTCACAGAATGAAAATATGTCCTAGTGTCTTCTGAAGTCTGAACATGGTATATCATCTTGTAAGTAGTTAGCTTCTTCTTGCTCAGTTTTGGAAATTATCTCTTTCATTGATGCCAGGACACTAACCTTTTTTACAACATCTGGGAAAACAGCCACGCTGAGCATTTTATTGAAGAATAATTTAGACCTTTTTAATTCTCAGTGCCTCGGTGTGTGTTTGCCTTTGGACCTGGAAATGGCTAATGTGTCATTTTTAAAAATGGATTTTAAGGGTCTTTGTTCATTTGTAAATGGAGTTGAATATTTAGTTGTCAGTGCTGCTAGCATTCACAGGCACGTACTCTCATTACCAAAGCCAGCAAAAATTAATGAGTGGGATTAGTGAAGGTGGTCACAGCTCGCATGCTCGATAGGGCCACTGTTTGAACCCAGGCTCATATCTAATCACCGGAAGGCTTAGTTTTCTTATCTGATACCAAGGCTTTGAAGCAAGTTTTGCGACACCTACATAAATTTACATTTTAAACACTGTTTCATTTTCCGCAACCTTCATTTTTATGCATCAACCAATGCATCAGGCACATGCTGGCGTCTCAACGTGCACACCTACCCTCCTCGCCACAATAATGATTTCAGTGCAGTGGTCATGCTCGCTCTGATCTCTTTTTTCTGTTTGTATGGCGTACTCGAGTAGATGAGGGTCATTACAATGGCGCTTTGTAGAGGGCCTCGTGTGCCTGCCTCACACTGTGGGTTTCTGGTGATGCTTCATACGTCGTCATTAGAATTGCAAATGCTGTTCGAGTGTGACAGAGTGGTTTTTGTATTGTTTGGCTCAACATTTGACAAAGGTCCCACAGACCTAGCATAATTAGTAGATTCAAAGAGGCTCTCAAATGAGATTTTAGCCTGCATCACCCCCTCTTTGACATTTATACATCAAATGAACATTACATTTGCATTTCAGAATAACTTTTAAAATACGCCTCTCTTTTAATACTACTTTGAAACTTTGTCATTGTTGTTACTGGTTGTTATTTCTGCACTTTCAAGTTAAAATGAAAATTCTACAATCAGTCAACACTGAAAGCACACAGGAAGTTAGTCAGATCTACTGAAGTTTCCTCTTAAATAATCAAACAGGCAGTAGATGAAAACCCACAGCATTGACGAGTGTGATGATAAAATGAGAGGCAGTAATTTAACTTGGTATAATCTCACTTTACATTCACTGAGGGGTTTCTAGAGAATAATGGGCAGATTTCAGTTAAAATACCTGTCTTCATCCTAAACATTTTCATTCCTTTGACATCTCCTGTCTCCTCTGCCAATATTTTCTAGGTCACGCTTACAGAAATGTGTCAGGCTGATGAAGTTTAATGACGGGTCATTCTCTGTGGTCTTTCTCCTCTGTATTATAATGAGATGAAGTTATTTGTGGCTTACCTGCTGACTGCAGTGTCACTGTCAGAATCTGCCTCACAGTGTGCTTCAGATTAAAGTTTGCATGTTTGTATTGCAGATGTAGTTCTTTCTTGAGTTTTACCTCCAGGAAAAATACTGGTTTGAATTCCTGGAGAGAGTAAGCCCATCTTTTTTCAAATTCTTTTTTTATGTAAAGAGGTGACGCCCGTATCATCATGAAGTCTCTTGATAGTGGGTGGAAAGTCGAGCAAAATTTTTTGGCAGGGGAATGATTAGGTTTCAATCCTCTGAGGTCAACAGTGACTTCTCATTGTTGTGGATACTGACGGGGGTGTTCACACTGACATCAGTGTCTAGTCAGTAGATTCACTATTCAAAATGCATCAGGGCTTATCCTAAGAGCTTATTGCCCTCCAGGCACACTAAAAATGAAGACTCCAGTCAATCTCAGTTGTCAGGACTTCTTTTGCTTGTATTGTCAGGCAGAGGCACTGCTGATAGCACATTTTGGCATCTGTTGTTTCATCAGACACTTTTCATGTCAGCAGGCTTTGGTTTAGATCCAATGCTCTGCCACAGGCGGTTGTTTGGCTCCCAGCACCAGTGTTAGGGTCATTACTTATTACTTGTAGTCTTTTAAAAACCTTACCCATTTGGCTGGATCTACACACATCATCCACAGCTCTAAAAACTTTGATACAAGTTTTTAACTATTCAGTCAGCATATATATTATTTTTTAACTATTATTATTTTGTTATTTAATTATTTAAAGGCTTCTTTCCGGGGAGATGAGAACATAAAGAAAACTAGTGACAGAAAAGGTTTTGCTTATTCAGAATAATCTCACACAGTTCAGTGAAAATAACACATTAATTGTCTGTCTGATATTTAGCATCTGTCTTCTGTATTTTCACAGATTCTTGCGCTGTCCAGTGAAGTTGCCCACCATGCGCGAGTATAAGCTTGTGGTGCTGGGGTCGGGAGGCGTGGGAAAGTCTGCACTGGTGAGTGATGGCTGCTACTAAAGCTTGATAGCCGAGGGTATTTTTTAATGAGTTTATACAAGACTGTAAATGAATCCAATCCTAATTTTAATTACAGTTTTAGCTTCCATTAATCAATAATCGCTAAAATATTTATTATGTGCTCAGTTTCTCTTTAAGCACATCCTTTTCCTTTACTTTTGACACTGAGTAATGGGTCCATTATATTCGTCACATTGGTCATGTTGAGTGCAAATAGTGATGTTGCCACAGCTCCACGAATGATTGCTGCAGTACTCTGGGAGTGTACAATCGTACACATCATTTGCCACGGGACCCATGTTTGATTAGAAAAATTGAGAGACAGCCAAAATGACACCAAAGGGTGGCTCGATTCAGTGGCAGTGACATCACAAGAACGACAAGTGTAAAATAGGCCCCTTAAAGTCCTAAATTACTTCCCATTAGACAGAGGAAGGTTCATATTTATTTATACAGTTTATTATAGTTGGGTTATATAGTAGTTATAAAGCATAGAGCTGAGTTATAATTAAGGTTAAAGGGCATTCATTCTTCTTTTACAGACTTTATAAATCCACTATATTTTCAAAGTCTAGTACTGCTAAATAATTAAGATTTTGCTGTTAATTAATACAAACAAACCAAAAAAATATGTGTGTGTGTGTGTGTGTGTATAATATTACAACACACACAGTTGCAAAGTTTTTATTTACACATAGCTGAAATTACTGTTTTCTTTTCTCAGTGAGGTTTACAGAGCTGTTGAGCTATTTATCTCAATAACAAGAGGTGTTTTTCATATTTTATAATTATGAGGATACTTTACATATTTAACTACCCCTTAAATTCACCAGCAACAGAACTTATAAAGAAAGCAAGCATGCATATATCCTTAAATGCAAAACTAATTCCTTGAACAGGTCTTACTGTTTTTTTCCTCAGTGTTTTATCATAGACTGTTACAGGAGCGGATGATCGCTTTAAGCATATCCAAAGTTTCAAGTAGTGAGGTGTGTGTGTGCGTAGACGTAATCCCTGTGATCCAAAAGCTCTTTTTCCTCCCACTCTTGAATCCGTAACAATGAAAGCACAGAAGTTTCAGCCACCTGCTGTTCTGACTTTCCGTCTTACGAGGGGCAGCCAATAACGGTCAAGCCAGAGGAGCTAAAATGACAAGGTTCTGCGCACCGAGGCAGAGGAAATATAAATAAGAATTACTTTGAACTGTAAGTCCTGTAAAGCTTTTTTTGTAGAGTCCAAGGATTAAGCACAACCGGTCACCTGTAAAAACTCAAAATCATCCTGAGATAAAATCCTGTAAAGCAGAAAAAAACCCTGAACATTAAGAGCTTTATAAGGTAGGATTTACTGTACATCTGTTGTTAGATTGAAAGTCTGACACAGGAACAGCAGTCGGTCTGTTACATCATTCAGCAGAAATTTTAAACTTTTCCTTGTATGATTTCAGACTATAAAAAGTAAAAGAGCACACATTGACATTTTTTCGCCCAAGAATGCCCATTGTTTAAACAAATATTTTGAAACAGTTTTTAAACAGATTTTAAAGCAGGATTTAATTTACTCAGACATGCCAGATGACCAGAAATAACAGGAAAATGCAAAGATATCTCAGTAAGGTGACAGACCAGTGGTGTGTCATTCACACAGGCTTATTTCAAGCCACAAGAGACCCTGAAAATGTATGTTATACCTTTATGAAAATGGTTATAAAAGGAGTTATTAATTGAAAGCAGGGAGTTAATTTTACGTTTGGTGCTCCCTAAAACTGCTTTTGGGAGCGATCAAACGTCCATCTGTGCAAGAAAATCTCTCACCTCTTAACAAATTGGCATCCTGCTTTGAATGAAAATATCTACATAGGACTGTAGATCAATTCAAACTTTAAGAATATAAAAAACGTGAGCTACAATTATGTCTTATTATTTAAGGACTTGAAGTTGGATTAAATGTTTTTGTCAGATTGTCTTTGTAATAAGCTTGTTATGGCCACATCCATAAAACATTAAGGCTCAGCTGTGGCTAAGCATACAAAGAGAGTGCCACGCCCGAGATTTATTAGACTAAGTTCTTTTATTTAAACAAGAAATGAAATAAAGGCCTGGAGTACTGGCTAAAAGGGGGAAGGGGGAGGGGAGACCTTGTACCATCATCCCTAAAGTAATAAAAATAAAGTAAACCCTGGCAAATTAAAGCAAGGATCTCGGAATGCTGAAGACTGGCTCGTTCTGGGCCAGCTTCCTTTAAATAAGAGCAGAAGAATCCATCAACACTCCACACAACACACCTAGAAAATAAAGGAGGAGGTGAGAAAAAGAGGAGTGTAGTAGTTTTGGATTGGTAATGATGTCCTGTGTTCTTTCCCTTTTCTTTTCTTCATTACAGACAGTCCAATTTGTGCAAGGCATTTTTGTGGAGAAGTATGACCCCACAATAGAAGACTCCTACAGAAAGGTATGACCTAACCTGCACACACATTCATTGCTTCACATGACTTTGTAAACATTTTCAAATAAAACAAGTCTTGTAAAAATGCACCTTTGTTGTTGTTGTTGTTTTTTTAACAGCAAGTCGAGGTCGATGGGCAGCAATGTATGCTTGAAATCCTGGACACAGCTGGAACTGTAAGTCAAACATGAGCAGGATGCAGGGGTGTTTCGAGGAAATTGTGGACCGGCCGCTGATGCCGTCTGTTATCGTTCTTTAGGAACAGTTCACGGCCATGAGGGACCTGTACATGAAGAATGGCCAGGGCTTTGCTTTGGTGTACTCCATTACAGCGCAGTCAACATTTAACGACCTGCAGGACCTCCGGGAGCAGATCCTGCGAGTAAAGGACACAGAGGATGTGAGTTTAACACAATTTTCACACTTGTTTTGATTATAAAGCACTCTCATGTAAGAGGTCCCCATTAAAAATGTTTGTCCTCATTGTTCAATGAAAATTCCCAAACAAAACCTAATTTTTTTCTTTAATTATTTGATACATCACAAGCAAAAAGGTTTTTAACTTTAAGGGTTCATAACTTTCTAGAACCCAAGCATCTCTTGTCAAAGGAGCTTGCGAAGAAAAGCATCTGGACTTCTTTAAAGTCCAGACGCTTTTCTTCGCAAGCTCCTTTGACTACAATGACCTGGATGACTGAGAACCTTCACAGCCAAGCATCTCTTCTTTCCAATAAGTTTTTTTTATAGAAGGCCAAGAAAAGCAACAAACCTTTAATGTCTACTTCAGCAATGACACGAATGATTAATTAACAGAAAAAGAAAGGGATCTACCAATTAATTGGTCAAACTTGATTACAGCTGACAAGGCAAAAAAAAGAGTTACTATTAAAGGAAAATGCTGTCCAAACAATATTGAGCATGAATCTTTGGAGCTCATTAGTCAAATCATGTTTCAAAAGTTGCTGAATGTTGATACGCGTTATGCTGCATATAACATGGGAGACATACAAACTGTGGTTTGCAGAGTTTGGTCTGCCAGAGCTACGTTCTCTTCTATGCTGGCGTCCACATACCGATGCAGAATGTGATTACACCTGTATTTTGGTTGTTTGGTTATATTCCAGTTTATTCAGAGACAGCCGACATGCAGCCACTTACCTCTTTTTATGTCACCGCACTGCAGAACAGCACCGGTTACCACAACTATCAGCTGTTTACTCTAACCCTCATTTCAACCAAGAACTTTCTTACTGTGAAGTGACAGCACTAACCACTCCAACACTGTGCAGCCTAGTAGCACAGTGTTGGAAATGAGTTTCACACATTTGAATTGGCTAGTAGAAACACCATCAGTACACCTGTCCAATCAATTTGCTTAGCGTACGTTTTTTACTGCTCCCTGTGCCCGTGTGAGCTCTCTTTGGATTCTCTGGTTTCCTCTTTTGTGCTTGTTAATGGTTAATTGGCATTTATATATGCAAGTGTGAATGGCTGTCACTCTGTAGTGGGGACCCAGTATATGTGCCACTGCTGACATCATCGCATAGCTGCATCCATTAAGGCCCACCATTAAGGCCCGCTGTAGTATTGTCCTGAAGGATTGCCACTCAGACCGTACCTCCACATCAGTCCTGATGTAGGAGAAGGAGAAGTGAAAACTGAAAGCACCCGCCCCCCCAAAAAAACAAAAACACACACACTTTCTACAAAGTCCTGTTTTTCCAAACTGTTGCGACATTTTCCTCTGTATAATATGTGAATCTCTGAGCTTCTGTACTGGTGTAGCATTAAAATGGTGGTAAAAAGTGACATGATCATACACTGGTGTTTTCAACCCTTCGGCACAAGATGCCAGGTTTAAAAAAAAAAAATCCAGCCTATAAAATGTTAACACTTTTTACTGTCAGTTGCTCACCTGATATCTGCCCACTTACCTCTGTTCACTAATTACAGTAATTAATGCCCTCACTTTCTCTTTCTTTCCTCACACTGGCAGCAGTGTGTCTGAAGTCTACAGCAGCAAGAGTTGTAACTAGGCATATATTAAGAAGCTCTTATAGCTTTTGCAGATACAGCATGCACTATTGCAGGAGTGTGTTTGCTCTGTTAAACTTGTTGTTTTTTTCCTTTCCCCCACAATAGATAGCTAAATGTCACATTCAGATGTCTTTGAAATATTCTATTGCGTAATTAAATTTACAGTATTCATTCATATCCCTAAAATGTTCAACACTAAAGTGATACGAAGTTAAAGTTTGTATCATATAAATGTATATATGTATATATTTATCACGTTTTTTTAAAAGTGGAAAACGGAAGTTAAATACTGAGAAAACAAAAAAATATAACCACTGACCATGAGCCAGACTGTTGCAGATATTACTGTTGGCCCAAAATGTCATAATGCTTTAACAAAAGTAATTGGAGCTAAATTTACTCTTGATTCCTTTTCTATTATTCGCATAAAAATGCTGCTTTGAAAACAAGCAGTAGCATCCTTTGGGGTTTGAAATAGTTTATTTGGCTTAAAATGCTGGTGCATTTCTTTGACCCACAGACAGACTCCTTTTTAAACAACTTTATCATGTTTATTTATTTATATATATTTATTATATTATAAACCTTTATTATGTTTGTCTTGAACAAACAAACGAGTAGCAAGCACTGGATAGATCATTGACCAGCCCTTTCTACAGACATCATTGGTGCACATCTGCAGAGGGAGCAAAAATAAATCCATATATGTGTCTATCTAGGACATAAATACAAGTCTCACCAAAAAATAGGAACAAGTGTAAAAGATCCTTTTTTTTTTTTTTTAGTTTGGTTGGTTGGTTTTTTGGAAGGAACACCTGATGTCTGTTTTCACCGACCAGTGATGATATGTTGGCAGAGTATAATAAACATCTGAATGCTGTAATTCTCTGAGGCTCCTCCTCAGTCTGCAGAGGGAAAACTGGCAGCGTCTCACTGTATAATCTGCCCTTGTCACCTCTCCTTCATTAAAGTCAGCACCGTGGGAGAAGAGGGCAGAGCGCAGGGGGGCAGGAACTTTGTGACGGGGTGGAAATGTCAGAGCTGCTGTTGGTTGCGATCTGCTGCCTTCTCCTCTCTCTAAATCAAGAGAGATGGAGCATGCTGAGTGTGTGCGCTCTTTATTTATTCATAGCAGGTTGCTCAGCTGGTCTGTGTGTCTTGGTTAAGGTCTCTTTTTGCTGCAACCTTCTGCTCCTCAGTATGCACATAAGCTTTCTAACCACTGTTTAGTCTTGTGATGAAATCCTTCAAACATGAATTTGGTCAACATTTTTGAGCATTTCTAATATATTCAAATATTTGTTGTCTTGTTTTCCATAATCATTTGGAGCCACCATTGTAATTATTAATGATGATAATGATCGTGTGGATAGTTTTAACTTAAATCCACCCTCTGATCAGATTCCTGAAACTTGTGATAAACATGAAGAAGAAGGCATGTTTATGTATTTGTTTCTTTCATTGCTTTTGTGTCATTTTACATCTGCACAAAAATAAAACTAAAGTTCCTTATTATTTTGTTTTTTGAACATGTCACATGTCGACTAATCCATCAGGTTCCCATGATCCTGGTGGGAAACAAGTGTGACCTGGAGGATGAGCGTGTGGTCGGGAAGGAGCAGGGTCAGAACCTGGCCCGTCAGTGGAACAACTGTGCCTTTTTAGAGACTTCAGCTAAATCAAAGATCAACGTTAATGAGGTAAGTGCTAATACCACACGCTGCACGTGTGGTCTCTCTTCATTATGCTTCTGCACCAGTGACTGCATGCCTTCATA